GCAACATATCTGACACACACACACACACACACACACACACACACACACACACACACACACACACACACACTTCATAATGTGTTAAACAGAAGGAGAAGCTATGAAGTTGCTCTGCTGATTTTGGCTCGACTACTTTCCTGTCACCATGACAATAAGAGGGAGCTGGAGGCAGCCCCACAGCACACACACACACACACACACACACACACCGACCTTTGACCTGACCGCTGTGTGGAGAATGGAGGCAAAGGCGAGGAGGGAACTGCACGGTGTTCCCAAGTGGCTCCAGCTCTTTGTTGGTGGAGCGGGGGCCCTGGGCAGCTGTGTGCACACACACTTAGTTGCAAGCAAACACACGCATTCCTTAGTGATTGCAAGAGACACAATCACGCACAGCACACACAGCTGACTCACTCACTCAAGCTGCTACTTCACCCTTTGTCTGGCTGCAGGTTTAAAAAAAGAATTTGAGCCATTTCCTCCACCTCATATTCACACCATTTGCTCGTCTGCTCTTCCTCTCTCATTCTCTTCATCTCTTTCCTTCCTCACTTGATGTTTCCACCTCATTGTTTCTCTTTTTTAAATGCATCTTTGTTGTATTTCAATAAAGCCTGTGAGTCATGACTAACGTCTGCAGCTGCACCTGAAAACGCTCTAACACTCCTCTGAAAACACTCTCCATCTCTCCCAGACAGCTCTTTGGCTGGCCATATTTTCCACACACATCTGGAAAGGTGTTTTCTGATTGGTGGATACTATAGAACAGAGCTGAAAGAGGAGTTCTGATTGGCTCCAGCTCAGAGGTGTGTGTTGAAAAGGAAGCTGATTGTTCAGCTGTGTGACTTCTGATGCAGTGCTGCAGTCTGCACTGCTTGTGAGTGCAGCAAGTGTGTCAGTGTGTCAGTGTGTGCTTGTGTGAGTGCCTGTCCTTCATCGACCAACAGATCTGAGACTGGTCTCCATAGCAACATCCTCGAAGATCAGCTTGTGAATAAAGACAGACTCCCTCTGT